CTTCAATTAAAATCAAATGATGCGTGCGTTTAATTCTTCCCTTCTCTTACCGGGTAATGATAGGGTTTGAGCATAGGCAAGAGGATAAAAAAAAAAAGTCTTTCAACTGCTCTTATCTGTGATGAATCAAAATGCGGTGTCCTAAAAATACACACGGATAACTAAACTTCTTAATTAACGGCTCCTAACTTAGCAGTTGGTCTGTTGTCTGTTTGTCCTCATTTATTTTTTTGCCTCTTGCTGGCTTAGCTCTGCTTACTCTAATTTGGGGATTTCTCCTTTGCTTCTCTCTGGTTCATTCTCTTTTTGCCTCTCTCCTGCTGCCCCCATCTCTCTGGGCGAGGGGCAGCTTTAGGATGGGGGACCAGTCCTCATCCTACAGAGAGATGCTATGCTACCGCAGGGATATGGTTTTCACTAAAAGCAGGAATAAAACCCTCCTGGCTCGTACCAGAACAGGCGACCCCAGTCTCCAGAGGTGTCAGATAACTTTTCCTGGATAAAACAAGTATTTCCATTGATCTTTTTTTCCCCCCCCGTGAACTATTTACTAGCTTTGGTAGAGGGTCATCCAGAAAAGTGGAGTTTTGCTCCAGCTTCCCTCATTTCTTTAGCTGATCCCCATCCCCAGGGCTCTTTGAATTACCTGGCCGCTCTTCTTGGTGTTTGAGGCTAATTTTTTTTAATCTCAGCATCTCCTGGCTTTGAAAGCATTCATCTCCAGCAGGACGAGCAGGCAGAGCGAGTGTTGGGAGGAGGATGCCCAGCGGGCCCACGGGTTTTTCGTGTCTTGCTGAGTTTTTGCATGTTGTCGCAGCTTCTTGAACATCCACCGCTCTGCGGGGGGGGGAGAGGCGCGTTTCCGAGCCGCCTCTCGACGCTCGTGTCTATTAAAGGCATTTTTCCTTGGTCCCTGTAAATTGCCTGTGAAAAACACGTCTTGAGTAATCTCTGCATCTTGGACATTTTCTGCATGAAATATTCAAGAGCCTGGTACTGTTTGCTTTGATGGGTGGTGAGTTATTACCAGCGCCGGGCTTGGACTCCTCATAGGCATGCGGTGATGGGAACAATTAGCACCCAATTAGGCACCTTGCATCTGTTCTGGGGATTTTTCTGCTTAAAAAATTGCAACGCACCAACAAACGGGAAAAAAAACCCAATCAAAAATCCTCTGCTGTAACTTTTAATGTCAGAGCGAGGGTGTCTTGCTGGAGCTGGCAAGCTGCTTCTGAATTCCTGCACGATAACAAGACTAGGACATAAGTTAGCGGCCAGGAGCTGATGGGATGGTCCCTGCAGCGATGCCCAAAGTCCCCTAAACGGGGGATATATGCACCAGGGGTGTATGTGCACTGCAGGGACCCAGGTCCCCGGGAGGTGTCTGGAGTTGGGCAGGGAGAAAGAGAAGTATTAAAGCCCCCGGATCCCTGGAGCTGCCTCCCCTTGGCATCGTCCTGGTCTCTTCACCCAGAAATCAAATGTATTTTCTAGATGCATCAAAGAGAAGCAGCTTGGAAGCCCCTAACTTTGAAACCCAGCACTTGGAGCAGGTTTGGGATATGATATATGTGCATATATATAAAATTAATTTTTGTTAATCCCTTTTTCATTCCTTTTTTTTTTTTTTTTGGACTTGGAGGCCTTTCAGGAAAATAACGTGCTGGCCGAGGCTGCGCTCTGCAGCTCCCCGCGCCGTCGTCCTCCTTCCTCATCCCTGACCCAGCTGCCAGCCCAGCTCTCCCCAGCCCAGGTCTGGCGTTTGCAGGCAGAGACTGGCCAGACCCACCTGCTACCTCGAGCTGCCAGCCAGCAATTTGGCACCAATTTCTCCTGTTTCTGCTAAGATGGACTTGGCTCCCTCTCCTTTTTTTGCCTGGGCACTTAAAAGCAGAAATCTGAGAAGCTATGGCCCGGTTCCAGTAAGGTTTATTCCTGGCAGTTAGAGTCTCATCCAGTGACTGCAAACTCATTGTATACAACGGAAAGAGTGACATCTGGCTTGGATATTCTGGAAAGATTACCAGCTGGCTTGTCATGTATTATGAAAAGAATAACATTTGCCTTAGAGGATGCTACAAGCCAGGAGCAGGGCCCCAGGGAGCAGCGTGACAAATTTTCGTGGCGCTCGGTGATGAACTTGCCACAGTTCTTTAAGAGAATTGACGTGCCTTCGCCTCTAATTTGAGGAGAGGGGAAATGCTGTCGGAAACTTTATTTATCTCCCACGGAGGGGAGGAGGAGGGAGTCCAATACCTTCCTGTGATGGGGATTGTGTGAAAGGAGCGGAGTTGGAGCTTCTCTGCTCTGCAACGCCCACCCTGGGCTCTCCCCTCTGCTCCCACCTTGCAAGTGGGGAGCAACATCCCTTGACCCGAGGCTGGTTTTGGCTGCAGGGAGGGCTGAGCACTGCAAAAGTCCCCTGGCAAAGCTTTTCTGCACATGCTGGGCTTTGTGCATGGCTCCGGCAAGGGAGACTGTGTGCTGAGAGCTGAGCATCAGTCCCAGGAGTGGATGCAGGATCATAGAATGGTTTGGGTTGGAAGGGACCTTAAAGATCATTTAGTTCCAACCCCCCTGCCGTGGGCAGGGACACCTTCCGCCAGACCAGGTTGCTCAAAGCCCCGTCCGATGTGGCCTTGAACAATTCCAGGGATGGGGCATCCACAACTTCTCTGGGCAACCTGTTCCAGTGCCTCACCACCCTCCTGGTGAAGAGCTTCTTCCTTACATCTAATCTAAATCTACCCTCTTTCAGTTTAAAGCTGTTACCCCTTGTCCTATCACTACGTGCCCTTGTAAAAAGTCCCTCTCCAGCTTTCTTGTAGGCCCCCTTTAAGTACTGACAGGCTGCAATAAGGTCTCCCCAAAGCCTTCTCCTCTCCAGGCTGAACAACCCCAACTCTCCCAGCCTTTCCTCACAGCAGAGGTGTTCCATCCCCCTGATCATTTTTGTGGCCCTCCTCTGGACCTGCTCCAACAGGTCCATGTCCTTCTTGTATTGAGGGCTCCAGAGCTGGACGCAGTGCTCCAGGTGGGGTCTCAGCAGAGCAGAGTAGAGGGGCAGAATCCCCTCCCTTGACCTGCTGGCCACGCTGCTTTGGATGCAGCCCAGGATACGGTTGGCTTTCTGGGCTGCGAGCGCACATTGCTGGCTCATGTTGAGCTTCTCATCAACCAACACCCCCAAGTCCTTCTCCTCAGGGCTGCTCTCAATCCGTTCTCCACCCAGCCTGTATTTGTGCTTGGGATTGCCCCGACTCATGTGCGTGGGATCGGTGGCTGTGAAACCCCGTGACCTGGAAAAAGCCCCAGTCATGGATGGCTGGAAACAGCAGAAGTCTCCAGGAAACCGCTGCATTCCTCCATGGAGCATCCAGTGCTCTGGTTCAGCCCCGAGCAGCTGTGCTTTATTCCCTCTTCTGTCCTTTCCCCAGTACGTAGCCCATGAAACTGCAGTGGTCTTCTGGCTGCGGGCTCAGCAGCAGCATCTCTGCTCCTCCCTGGCGCTGGCTGTGTTTCGGTGGTACCTGCCCCCCCGCTCCCTTAGCGCACTCGAGATCGGGTGTGATGAAAAGTGCTGGATGGATGTAAGGTATCACTGCAGATCCCTTCTACTTCATTCAATCACTGCTTCATTTGTTCCTCCGCTTAATTTGATCAAAACCTTCTGAAAACAAATCATTCCTATTTAAAAAAAAATAACACAATTTCTACCCTTTATTTTCATCAGTTCTTATGGCTTTAGGCAGGTACTGTTGGATGATTCAATCACCGGTTGGACAAAGATGACATTTAATTAAGAAGGAAGGAAAAGGAAGCTAAAGAAAATAATGTATGCCTCTTCTTTCTATATGAAGTGTGCAAAAAAAAAAGAGCTGAGGAGATTTTCTGTTGTGAAATGCAAGGTCTCACCTACAGTGTCAGCAACTTGGCTGCTTCGCAGCAATTCCTCCCTGTGATTGAAACCCAGCCTGGGCCACAATTCAGCCTCGTGTCTATTCATTTAATGACTGAGTCAATTTGGAAAACTGCTCCCCATCCATCTGCCCACCTGGTCCATCTGTCCATCCTCTTCTACATCCTTCCCGTTTCTTTATCCTTCTACCTCGGTGATTCGGATCATCCCAAGAAAAATCCCCAGAGCATCGCATGGAAAGCGTGGGTTTGTGTCAGCAGAGCCAGATTACCGATGCACCTGGAAATAGCTGTGCTTCCATCGCTCCTTGTGCTTTTTCTGTGCATTACACCGAGCAGTGAGAGAAGATGAGATGGGGTAACCAAGCCAGTAATCGGGTTAGGAGTGGAAATCAGCTCCTCTGCTCCTCTTGTCCCTCCTTTATTCCTCCTGGTCCTGCTGCCGTTCTCCCCATCTCTGCTCTTTCTGCCTTCGCTCTGCCCCCAGAGCCGAGCCTGGCAGGAGGGCAGGCAGGGCACGAGCATCTCGGCCCCCGGGGTCTCTGCGAGGCTTCCTTTTGTTTTTTCCCTTCCCAGCTGCAAAAGAAGAAAGGAAAATGTAACCCCCAACCTCGGGCATTTTAATTGCACTCTATGCTTTAACATTTCAGAGGGAAGATAAAAACAAGCAGTGAAATTTTACAGTCGTGTAATGATGCCGGGAGCAGCGCGGCCAAATGAGGTTGTGAAGTTTATGGTATGCTCTGCCAGTCGAGCAGCGCTTGGAAAGGGCTGGGGGGGTGGGAAGCAGTAAAGGATGGAGGAACGAGGGTCCCACGCTCGGGGGCTCGTCCCCAGTGGGGTACCCACCTGCAGGCAGGCACCCCTCCCTTGCCCGTGACCCTCCGGCAGGCTGGGGCGACCGGAGGCGAGACAAGAAGTTGCACCTCCTGAGTCTAGATCTCATTTAGAGCTCTCTCTATCCCGTTTATCCTCTTTTCTCACCTTTATTTTTTTAAAACGTTGCTCCTTGCTGCTGAGTTGTTCTGTGCCGGGAGCAGCAGTGTAATCCCGTCCCTCTCCCTCTTGCTCTTTGCACCCAGGTCCCGGCTGGCCGATTTCCACACCAACTGCCAAGCCTCCTTCCAGTCCCTGACGAGCTGCCCCGGGGACAACTACCAGGCGTGCCTGGGCTCCTACGCGGGGCTCATTGGTGAGTGCTGGGGGGGCGGGATGGTGAAGGGTCTCTCCCACCGCGGCCCCTCATCCCTCTTCCTTCTCCTCGCCCGGGAGCAGGCTTCGACATGACGCCCAACTATGTTGATGCCAGCACCACCAGCATCACCATCTCGCCCTGGTGCTCCTGCAAAGGCAGCGGCAACATGGAGGAGGAGTGCGAGAAGTTCCTCCGAGACTTCACGGAAAACCCCTGTCTCGGTAAGGCGCTTCCCCGTCCCCCTCCTCACCCTGCCCCGTCACCGCCGGGGTGCAGCCCCCCATAAACGTCTCCTGCCCCAGGAAACGCCATCCAAGCCTTCGGCAACGGCACCGACGTGAACATCTCCCCCAAGAACCCCTCACCCCCCGTCACCCTGCCACCGAAGACGGAGAAGAGCCCTGCCTTGCCGGATGATGTCAACGACAGCAACACCATGTACGACACGAGCGTCATCACCACCTGCACCTCCGTCCAGGTAGAACCTGAGCCTGGTCGCTGCTGCAAACTGGGGACACTGGTCTGGACCCTCGGTGGGTCCGTCAGCCAGGAGATCAGCTGCAGCCCGTGGGCAGCAAAAAAGTCCTGCTCAGTGCACGCATCTCGGTCTGGATGCAGTGTTGGTACCCAGGTGCCCGGCAGGATCCGGCCATCCCTGGTAAACGGGGGTCAGGGCACTGCCCGGGGGTCTGGCATGGGGAAGGGAGGGATCCGTGCCCTGCCCATCCCCTTGCCTCGCTTGGGGCATCGTCCCCTGCCTGGCACGGCTCTGTGCCCGGGGCAAGGTGAGCTGGCATAGCTGCCCCGAGTGCAACTTCTCCTGCCCCCGGCTTGTTCGGGATGAAAACAGCTTGAGTTCCACATGGTTTGGGAAAAGCTGAAAAATATGTTTTATCTTGCATTGCACTGGGCTTGTGGGTGGTAAGGTGCTGCCGGGAGAGGAGCGGGACAGGGGGACCGTGGCCGGTGGGTGTCACAGGAGCGTAGGCAGGGTCCTCGGCAGGAACATTTGCGGCAGGGCGCACGGGGGGCAGCGAACCCGGGGCTGGGATGAATCTGTGTGAGTGCTTGCAGCGTTCTGTTGCTTGCACTCTCTCATGCTTCAGGCAGGAGCCCAGCAAAGAAGCAAACCCGCTGGGGTGAATCTGTGTGAGTGCTTGCAGCGTTCTCTTGCTTTCACTCACTCATGCTTCAGGCAGGAGCCCAGCAAAGAGCCTGAGCTGCCCGGGGAGAAGGGATGAGCCCCTTCTCTTTCTTCTCTCCTTTCGCAAAGCTCTTCTGACAGCCCTGGGTGCTTGAGAAGCACGCGGAGAGACTTCACGCTTCGACACCAGCCACGATTTCCAATGCCCCGTGCATAGGGCTGCAGGCATCGCCCCGTGCCCTTGCAGGGTGGCTCTGCAGCTCCCAGGGGAATCGGGGGAGCCCAAACCCTGGGGTGCGACCCCAGGTGGGAGCGGCCCTGGGTGCACATACCTGCTCTAAGCCTTCCTCCTTTCTCCTCTCCAGGAGCACGGACCGAAGCTAAACAAGTCCAAAGAGCAGAGTCTGTGCTACTCAGAGGTACGTTTGGGGCAGGGGGGAGTGCAGGGAGGGGGGGTCCTGGGGCCGGGAGCTCTTTCCCACTGCAGATGGCTCGGGAAGGACGTGCCAGACAAGCGCGGTCCCGGGGATCGCTGGCTTCGCTGACTGGAGGGCAAAAATAGGTGTTTTCCAAGGTTGGATGATTTTCCCCCAAAAGGACCCTGATGAAACCCTGCTCTCCCCTCGCCCGCAGACCCAGCTGACCACGGACATCATGCCAGACCAGAAGACGTTCGTGGACCAGAAGGCAGGCGGCAGCCGACACTGGGCGGGCCGGATCCTGCCCGTTGTGCCCATCCTCCTGCTGAAGCTGGCGTTATAGAGGGGCGAGGAAGGCAGCGGCCGGCGGGACAGGGACGCTTGAGCGCGCACGAGCGCGCGCGCGCCTGCCGGCACGCTCGCTCTCACCTCGGTTCCTGCTGCGGCGATGGGGAAGGGAAGGACCGCCTCGTGCCGGAGACTGAAACGCTCAGAAACACCAGGGATGCCAAGCCCGGGCACGCCAGGCAGCAGGAGGACCCTCACCATGCTGGGAAACTTTGGTGGTTTTCTTCCGATTTTCATTTTTCCCTTTTTTTTTTTTTTTTTTTCCGGTCTTTGATGGTGCGTTGGGTTTCTTTTCTAAAGCAGGAGCCCACAGCTCGTGGTGAACCCCCCCCGCGTGCCCTGCAGCAGGGGATCCAGAGCTGCGAGTGGCACTGGGGAGGGAAAATAAGCATTGAGCAGAGCTTTGGCAGAGGTTATTTGCAGGATCCATCAGCCCGGGTGCTCTGGGGTGGCCGTGGGGACGGCGAGGTTTCCGCATCGGAGCATCCCGGAGGACGGACTCGCCGTCAGGAGGCTCTTCTGCATCGTTCGAGGGGACTCGCTCGAGCTCTCGACATTGTTATTGGGGGTTTTGGGTTTTATTTTTTTTTCTTTCCCATGGTTGGCGAGAGTTTTGAAATGGAAGAGAAAAGAAACTCCTGTTCAAACGTTGTGAGGTTGTCCTGATGTTTTCAATCTGTCACTTCGAGGGGGAGGTTTTTCTTTTTTTTTTTTTTTAATCTTCGTCCAGTTGAATTTGGGTTGGGATGGGATCCGACCCATCGGTGGTCGGAAACCTCTGTATGTTCCTCTCTGTTTTCTTTCTTTTATATATACATATATAGTGTATGTATATACCATTCACCTATACCTACATATATGTATGTATATACATAATCATATACATCTACAGTGTGGCTTTTTTAATTTCCTTTTTTCCTTTATTTTTAAAAAAAATGCTCAAATGGCAACAACAACTTTAAAATGTATTATTGTAAAGTTTATTTTTTTTAATAATGTCTATAATGGAAAAAAAACAAACCAATAAACCAAGAACCAAGGAACGAAGCAGCACCGAAAGCCGAGCTCCACCGAGCATCCACCTGTGCCCGGGTGTGTGTCCAGCCAAGCGTCCCGAGCCCGGGGGGGGGGGCGGGGGCCCCTTCGGCTGCAGAAACGCAGGGCTTTGGGTGACACGTTCCCCCATGTGCCATTGGCTTTTTTTTTTATGTGCAATAACTTTGTTTTTGAAAAAACCATCCCCTTTCCGTTTTTGGTTTTTTTTTTCTCTTTTCTC